TAGTTTTCTTCGCTTTACGAAGTGAAGCAGGTATAACTGAGGAGCGTCTTTTCTTTGCCCCAGTAGTCCCAACTCTATGGAAAATGAGAACAAAAATCAAAAACAAAAAAAGGAAATCGATTTATTTCAAAATTTGATCATCAGCCGAAATCAGTTAGAGATTTCTATATAATTGAAAGCTTGAGTGTATTAGATAGCTGCTTTATTCTATTTTGTTTGGCACTCTCCATGAAGTAAGCCGGTGATCGAACTCATATCCATATATGACAGTGAGAAAAAAAAGGTTAGTGTACTGATTAGTAAATATTTATACAGTTACATATCCATTTCTTGTGAGTACCTACCTTTGTGGTGTTTTATATTTAAGAATAGAGTTCATGATGTCAACCCAAGTACCATTTTCAAAATTGCTTTACAATCGAATTCGACCCCGGTGTATTCGTTCTAGTTGAAGAGGTATTTCGAGTACTAATCTAATAGTAGAAGACAACAGACTTGATAACGGGATGTTTATTTGGAATTTGATATACACATATATACATGGGGAAAGTATGTCCGCCTTAAATTAAAATCATCGTTTGTATTATTTCTGCCTTTCGTAATTCGTTTCTTCGTCTTCTTTTCATGTCCCCCACCCCACCCCCCACCTACCCATAACACAGGTTCATTTGCCACGTCTCACGTCAACTCTATCTCTCCGCTATTAGATGTTTTTTTTCTTCCGATGGACGTCTCTTTATATTATTATTATTATTAATATTGTTCCCTTAGGTTCCTAGTGGAACATAGGGATTCAACTGCATGTCTCCACTTGCTTCTGTCTTCTTCTGTACTTCTCACCTCCATCCATGTTAGTCCATACTGTTTCAAACCATCTTCACACGATCTCCTCCATGCCACCCTTGCACTGACGACCAACTCACCGCTTCCCTTTCGGCCTAGTTCCACTCGAGCAATAGCCTGACACGCGCTCGATGTCATCCAGCCGCCTACTCAGCGAGTGTCTAATCCATCCATCTCCACTTTCTCCTGCATATTTGTTGGGCGATCGGTTTGTTCTCGTCTTATTTATTCCCATAGTCTCTTGTTGGTGATTCTTTCCGGCCCGGCCATCTGATCTTCAGTATAGATCCAGCGAAGACAGCTATTCATAAAGGTTTGCATCGCAACCTGTTGGAAATATTCTTTGTCACCCGCCAAAATTTCTGGTCCGTATAGAACTGACTTGACGTTTGTATTGAAGGTCCGAATTTTGTTGTTGATTCTGGCTGAGTGACGAAGACTTCCAGATTGGTTTCAGGTTGATGAGCATGTGTTTCTCGCTCGATTTGACATCCTCGTCTCTTTATATACTACTGATAAATCTTGACAGTAGCACACACCACACACTAGAATGTATGCAGGGATGTGCGACTTCTGTGTAGCCAACCTACTGAAATTTTTCTCTACCAGAGAGAAATGAATGACGCTATCTCATGCTAACTGACTGGTTTCAACATAGAACTTTGCACAGAAGTGTAACAGTTCGAGTTGTCACATTCCATGTACCACGACGCAAAGGTGGTAAACAAAAGACGGAAAGCAGGAATTCAAAAAGACACAATTATAAGCAGAAATGCGACAGAGAAGCGGTAGTAACATAGAAAGACAATAGGGTTTCAGTGGACAGAAAGTCGATGCAACTGTACCACCACTGACAACAATTTCGAACTATATCGATCACCAATCGACTCCAAGCGAATTATTTGGGATCGGTAAAGGCCTTAAGTAAAGGTTAAAGATTAAGTAAGATCAACTTTTCCATAGTTTTTAGAAAAGGAGAGGAAACAGAAATAAGTCCAGATTTAAAACATGTTCTAGTAGATAACTTAGATACAGGTGCAATTTTATTGTTCTTCCAAACGTCTGACACGACATTTCTGGAAAAAGATTCATTAAATATGTCACTGAGTGGATAACACAGGATATCTGCACATTTTTTAAGAATAACACTAGAAAAACCATCTGGACTTAAACTACAAGAAGGGTTCAGCGACTTGAGACATTTTAGAACATAATTTGTATTAAAACCAGGGAAGTAGGTTTCATTAACACTTGTGACACTAGAAAGCTTGGCATTTGTGCGAGAACGTGTGAAAGACTTGTTTAGTGTATACACATCAAATGAATAAGGAATACTATTCATCTACTTACCACCAGTAATTTTTTTGAAAAGTTTCCATATATTAGAAGCATTTTTACAAGATATAAACAGAATTCAATCTGTATATAAGGCAGCAGCAGTGCATCAAGTTTAGACACAGACGTACATTGGAATTTGTAAAATAAGTATAGTCGCAAACTTCCGTACGTAACAAATAATAGAGACTACACAGCGAGTAGTCAGAGGACTAATCTAGTCAAGCCATGCGCCCGATAGTTCAATGAAATGTTCGCCAACCACACAAACGGATGGTACGGATTCGACTCCCACCTCCAACACACTCCTAAACCTCGTCTATAATTAATTAACTAGCCAATAGTAAGGCCAGAATAAAGAGAGAAGGTTGACAGTAAGGCTACCACCTATACCAACCTTAACACAGACAAACTGTTGGGATGTCTAACAGAAAAAAAGGGACAAAATTAAAACAACACTATGAAGAGATGATTATTACCTTTGAGAGGAAGGTGAGTTGGCAGCCTGACATTTTTGAATCTCAAGTTTCTTAGACATTTTTGATGTATCCTCGTCCACTGAAGTGGATGCTCTTTGGAGACATTGTATTGCGCCACTACTGCTTGAAGAGGAAGAACAGACATCACTCATGTCAGACGATATAGTGACTGAATGCTTTGGACTTGACAACAGAAAACCCGAAGGTTTTGATTTCGGAGGTACCTGACAACCTATAGACCGCTGTGTACACCGTGAAGAAGGTGTACAATTTGACAGATGATCAGAAAACTGTTTTTCAAGAGCATTGATCTTTTCCAACTGAAGTAAAAACGAAAACAAAAAAGTCGATATTACTAAAGATAATAATAATAATTAGAATAATAATAGCGAAGAAAGCAAATGTTGAACCGAATGTAAACAAATAATCTATATAACGAAGTTCTTTTACTACATTCTCTTAAAAACATTGGAGCTGGTGATTCACTGTTGGAATACTCACCAGTCTCATGCGGAAGGTGTCCAGGTTCCACTTATAAACCCAGTCTAGTTTGCAGTCCCGACAACAGCTATCTTTGCCATAATGGTCTACGAGCTGGCCTTGTAAGCGGAAAGTCTTGAGTTCGAATCCCGGTGGGCGTGTGCTGATGAAAAGTCACAAACTGGGACGAAGTAGGTGTCCAATACTCCCATATTTTTCCAATGATTCTCTAACTAATGTCAGCTTATGATGGAATTCTGCAACTAATCAAATCTCTGCAAACCAACATTTGAATAACAGCTAACTTCGCCATTCCGATACCAAAAGCCAAATAACCAGTCAGAAAGGATGAACAAGCAACAAGGGACTCTGGCAGTGAACCGAACCCATAAGCAGAAGGCATTGAGAATGGAATGGACAAATCTGCAGGAAGTATCCTAGTGGTATGTGATATCAGAAATGCCCCCTGCCTGAGCAACGCATACCCAGGAGTATACCGGCTTCGAAACCTAACCGATCAACTTACCCCTGTAATAAAATTTGGTCAGTAATTAGCTTCTACTTATTATCTCTCTTTTGAACCTCCCTTCACTCTATTATGCTTTGTGTGATACATGAAATGTGGCAACTCCAAGTGTTACACTTCTCTGCAAAGTTCTATATTGAAAACATTCAGTCAGTCAGTCAGTCAATCTAATCCCTATTATCACAAGTCCAAGGCATAAATTGTAATTCCACAAGTACAAGCATTTGTCTAAATAACTTACAAAGTAATATCAGGTTTAGTAAAAAAAACCAATCATTCATTAATTAGGATTCGGTGTACAACAAAAAGAGTTGTAGTAACTTGCGAATTGTATAAGCACTACATATCAGAATCCACACGAACTTATAACACTGATTGTCTGATTTTCAAGGCAGAACTTTGTACACAAATGCACTAGTTCAAGTTCCCAAACTCTAAGTAGCATACAAAGTGTTAGAGGAAAGAAACAAAACTATGAAAGACAGAAATGTACGAGAGAAAGGAATAGTAATATGGGAAAACATTATGATCAAATGAATCTAGGAGATGACATACAAGGTACACACGTGCGCTGACTGACTGGCTGACTGATGCATCTGAGCTATAGAGAACGGTTTTGACCCGTATCGATAACAGTCGGTAGCCATTTGTTCCTGGAATCTCAATGACCCTAATCATACAGTCTAAAACTCCGTAGTATGTGACTCAAACCAACTGTTAAGTACTCCATAGATTGATGACAGGTTTTGGTTTAACCACCCTATCACTCTTTTCCAATGTAATCGTCTATTAGTTAACATTGCTTACTGAGGAAAGCAGTGATTTGGCATGAGTAACACGTGTCTTCGCCGCCTCAATCGATATAACTTCGCAAACTCATTGACTGACTGACTTCCCTTCGTTACCTACCACTAAGCCTAACCCAAATATAACTCACCATATTATACCAATGAACACGGGAGATAGACCGCAAACAATTACCCTTCCCAAGCCTTCTACTTCCAATGACCATGTGTCACAACCATAAAGAGGTAAAGAGAGAACTGCTCCACAGTACACACATCCTTTGATCGATAGCCAGATATCATGTATACGTCAAGGATGACGTAATCTGGGAAACACCAATTATAAGAACAATACGATACCAAACGTTGACACAGTGATTGATATGTAGAAAAGTACAGACTACCTGATAACTAAACGTGAACACAAAACAACAAAAAGAAAATAACATGAGTTGTAGACTTACTGCTGACTCCAACCGACGTTTTCTATGTACCACATAACGTGTAAGACAGCTTAGCCGAGCTGACAAAGTTTTAACTTGCCTATTTACGTGTTCCATAGGCGTAATTTTATCTGCAATATATAGAAAAGACAAGAAGATAACAATTCTATATGTAATATAATATGCGTCAGTCGAGAGATTTATGCACTGAATTCCCCAGTAATATATAAATATACATATACAGGATAGTAGTTTAATTTCTAAATTAAGACAGTGACTGACTGACTGACTGACTGGTTTCAACATAGCACTTTACACAGATGTGCACTAGTTCGAGTCGCCACACTTCACTTAGCACACAAAGCAAGAAAGGGAAGTAAAAAGAAATGCAAAACAGAGCTATTAGGCAAGGCGAATAGTAATACAGAAGAACGATATAGTTTCATTGGGTATTATAAGTCACACAAAATGGATACCTCTGTGCCATCACTAAGAACGATTTCGACCCATATCAACAATTGTCTCCAGCCTTCATTGGTGTTAACCATCTTGAGGACCCAAAACAGGAAGTCGACACCATCCTACATGACTGACTTAAACTAACTGTTGTGGATTTGATTGACTGATGAAGCCATGTTTTGGTTTGATCACCACTAACCAGCTCTTTTCCAGCCTGACCAATCCTATGCCAGCTAACATTGCCCGTCGAGGACGGCGATCGATGGTTAGGCATGTGTAACACATGTCTCTATCACATGTCCTAAGCATCTCAACAGGTCATAGATATAGTTAACTCACCATATCAACAAATCGCGAAGTGGCTAGCTGATATCCTCGAACCAGTTAAAAGACATATGACAAAATATAGCCTCAGAGATACATTTGACTTCATCGACTCAGTGAAGAATATCAACGTGTCTGAAAGACAAATGATCTCATTAGATGTCGCCTCTCTATTCACAAGTATCCCCCTAACCGAAACAATATGCTTCATTTGTGAGTACATCGAAACCAACAACCTAGAAGTTCCTCTCCTCATAAACTACCTGAAGGAACTTCTCAGATGTACGTCCAATATCCAGTTCAAATTCAATGAGCAGTTCAAAGTACAGAAAGATGGAGTAGCCATGGGATCTCCTCTTGGTCCACTCCTAGCCGACTGTTTCATGGCGAGTCTCGAAAACAACATCTTTGATCCCTTGATATGTCAACTGCATTTATACAAGAGATATGTAGATGATACGTTTATAATCTGTGATGAAAAATGTGATTTAGATTCCCTCCTCAAAACCTTCAACGCAGAGCATTCATCAATAAGATTCACCTTAGAACGCGAATCGAACAACTCAATTCCATTCCTCGATGTACTACACACCAGAAGACACAACTGTACGATCCAAAGGTCGATATACCGCAAGCCAACATGGACTGGACACTTTATCAACTTCCAGAACTTTGTTCCACTGATCCGAAAGAGAAACCTGGAACGTACATTGTGTTCAAGGATTAGAAAAATCTGCTCGGAAGACATGGTAGAGAAAGCATTAAATTTATTACGTGAAACCCTACTAGAGAATGGGTATCCACCAAGATTTATCGAAAAAAACATGAAGGAAAAGCCTCCGGTATCAAACATCACAACGGTTCCTAAGAAGACTCTCCTCATGAACCTAGCATTCAAAGATGATATCGCAGCGGAAATTCTCAGAAACCGCCTTTCTAAAAGTCTGAAGAAGACATTTCCAACAGCCACTCTACGCATCACATTTTCCTGCAAACAGTTAATCCAGTCTAACGCTAAGGACAAGATACCGCTTTTCACCACTTCAATGTGTATTTATCAATTTACTTGCTCGTGTGGAGCAAAGTATATCGGCCGTACGCAACGTCAAGTCCACAAACGTATTCTGGAACACTGCCCAGCTTGGGTTTAGCCAGAGGAGAAAAGAAGAATAGCAACAGCTCTATCCTCGAACACTGTCATCTCCGGACATCGAGCACCCCCACATGAATGCTTCACAGTTGCACTTTTAGCATTACGTAATCAGATGAAAAAGAGGTGAAAATATCCAGTTATCAGGGCATAGAAAGACTGATAACTGTTTCGTTCTGAACGCACAAATTAGGTTTCAGGCGCTTGATGGAGATGGCTTCAGTAAACTTGAGGAGAATCGAACTCTTTTACCCATTGATAATTTGTAACATTCAACTTGATTATAAAGGTGAAAACATTGCATCAATGGTCAACATAAGACTGAGTACGTCATTAGCCACAGCCTATCCTGCAGCTAAGATCGTTCCCGTCTATCAAACAACTTGCTCTTCAGTGCAATCAACATTTGATAGATATCCTATTCATGTTAACTCCAACTGTATGTACAAATTTACATGTATCTGCGGGAGCAGTTACATTGGAAGAACAGAAATAAGGGTATATCTACGATATTTACGAACGTGTACCAAAAAGCTTATGTCTAAAGGGAGCAAATGCTTTAAACAATGCCATCGCAAGGCACCCCCTTGATACGGGTTGTGAGGTGGACGTCGCAAGATCGTTCAAAATTATCAATAGGTTAGAGAGTTCGATTCTCTTTAAGTTTGCTGAAGCCATCTCCATCAAGCGCCTGAAACCTAATTTATGCGTTCAGAACGAAACAGTTATCAGTCTTTCTATGCCCTGATAACTGGATATTTTCACCTCTTTTTCATCTGACTACGTAATGCCGAAAGTTGCCATTGGGTATGACCATTATTGTTCAAAATAGTGTCCAATATATATACATATATATATATATTCTAAATTTATTGTAGCCTATTCCTCGATAATGCCTTTCTACGGTAACTGAAGATCATATTTACCCACTATGTTCTGAAATGACACAGGTCGTGCTTAAAACGACACCTGCGTGCTGAGTCAAAACTTTCCACTCTGGAGTAACGCTAGTCCATGCTTAATATGTCCTATGAGGGCTGGAACAACGTTGATAAGCAAACCCAGTAGGTTCGATTTAGTGCCACTCATGTTGAAAAATGAGCGCAAAGTTTCGCTGTCAAACAATGGCAAAACAGTAAGGGAGTCTACTGTTACTATTATTAGCATAGTCTATGTTACTATATTAGCATAGTATACGTTGATTAGCTCAATGATTGCAGGTTTACAATAATCTTTGACTACCAACATAATAACTGTGAACTTCAGGCTAAAAATGAGCTAAATAGTAGCACCCAGTGACAAAAACTGACCTACACACTGCAAAATGAGCAAAACATCCAGAAAAACCTTTAAAATTCAATGGAAAACGAATTCACGAAAACATATAACTAGCCGACACAGGAACTCATCATGCCCTAGAAACTGACTGTAGCCTCTTTCACTAATCACACACTGAGTAAACGTAGCACCTACTTCAAAATTTCAAACTGTAAATTCAATTCCCAATTTCCAGTATCGTTATTAAAAGCCAAACCAATTTGACTTCTTTGTGCTATTTTCTTGACTACAAGGTGAAGATTCCTAGTCTCCGATAAAGTTCTGCATAGTATGTTCCACCAAGAGACTGTGGTAGCCTTGGTTGAATGCAAGGGGAGTGAGTGTTTATACATGGATTGTAGCATACTGTAAGTTAAGACAGTGTCACGGCTGTCTTTGGAATTCTATATTTTACATTATATATTTACATTACATAACTGTATGCATATACTGATTGATGGATTTTTGTTTAAAAATGAACTTTGTTCGAGTATATTAAAATTGCTTCTGTAGATATATTTAATAATGACTTTGGCCTGTATGCAGATGATGAGAAGCCAACGAAATAAATGATGGCACCATTTTATTCTGCAAAACTGTCGTTCTTGTTTTATTCAAATGCATTAAGGGGAGTAAATGTATGAAAAATATAGGGATTTCTCACGTTAAACTGGACATTATGCAGATGACGAATTTGATTCTAAACATACGCTAAAACTTATCGTCACCTAGACAGAGATCGAGTTTGTAAACTGTGTTCAGAAGGAAATCCTAGTCGCTTTGAATTTACCACGATAGCACCTTCTAGTGACTAAGTGTTATTCATATATTTCACTTCATTTCATTATTATACTTGATTCAGCTAAAAATATGTTTCTGACAGTACCATTATCTTATTTATTTGTTGTTATAAAGCTTGAAATTCCTGACAATCTTAATTTTTCTCGCTCATAACTGATTTTTTATTTAAGTGATGTAACTCTACCGCAATGCATTACCTGAATTTTATCCTTGCATACCCCTTGCAAAACATTAGCAGCTGTTGTTTTTTATGACTGGTTTAGTAAAATTTATTTATTCAACAGTCAGTGTACTACACACTACTTCTACCGAAATTTGACGAATTCATCAAATCCTTGTTAGTTGACGTTTACAGCACAATTCGTTGCCCTAATTATGTCAACAAGTATTTCCAGTGTTTCATACCTTCTGATTCCCTGCTGCTTTTCATTGAGACTCTTCATATACATATATATATATATACGTCATCCCTGTGTTCAAGTGTTTGGTGGTGATTCGATGATTTGAGGTGGAGTGATTAATCTCTCACTCTACTTAACTAAACGTTGTAACCGAGAGTTACTGCTTTTTATTCGTTGCTGCCTATGTTGGCTGCTATGCGCCAAAATATTCCCCATACCGAGGAGGCACACAAATGTCAAATTTAACCAAGATAAGTATACTTATTGTGTCGTATACGACAACAATAGCCTAATTATTCACAGTACCGAGTATATACCCTTCAAGCATCAAAGGAAATCTCAACGATGAATAATCAATGTCCACTCGGTCGCATCAACCATGAATTCAGGCTAACAATCATCTATTATCTATCCTAGCATCAGATTGCTGTCTAATATTTTCAACCCATACCAGCTCGTCGTTTGATCATATGTATGTGAATGCATCACAAGGATTGGGCATTCTTCTAGACTAATTAACTTAGAAGAGTCAAACATTCCATCTCTAGCTTAATTGTCATGCTCCATAATTATAACTGACTCTAACCTACATATTGACCCAGCTAGCATTTTCTTCGGTCTCACTGCAATATTTCCGGGGGCATATTCTTCCAGCACAATAGCGAAAATGGGACAGTTATCTGCAGTCTGCCTCCAAAGTTTCTGCAGTACTTCGAAGCCAGAGCGATCTGGAGAAATGAAAACTAAAGAATTTCATAACATAAATGTTTGGAGTGGTGGCCGAGTCAGTGAATTTCAACAAAACGTTTGCAGGTAACCACCTTAAGCCCTCAGTTCAGCTACTCGATATACACTCTATTACTAATATGGCACAAACTCCATCTCCACTCACACCAAACCAAATCAGCACTGTTCAATTCAATTACGCTAATATTAACCAAACTATAAGAACCCTCAAAAGTTCAAAAGGTTTCGGTACCGACGGTATATCATCTTACTTCTATAAATATGGTGGCCCTGACATTCCTCTACTACTGCTTAAAATATTCACAATGTCCCTAGAAACTCAAACTTACCCTGACATATGGAAGACTACATTCATTATACCTAAACACAAATCTGGCTCGAAAACTGAAGTCAGTAACTACCGGCCGATCAATATCACACCTATAACGTCTAGAATTATGGAGAGACTAGTCAAAGATAACTTATCAAACATATGCTTAGCCGCAATATTATAAGTCCGAAGCAACATGGATTCTTGAAATCCAGATCATGTTTAACGTGTCACCTAGACTTCTTCAATTTCGTAACCAGCAGTCGTGACAGACGGCAACTAGTACTTGTCATCTACTTTGACATTTCTAAGGCATTTGACCGTGTTGACCATCTACTGCTAACAAATAAGCTGAACTCCCTAGGAATACGTGACCCACTATTAGGCTGGCTTAAATCATTCCTTAACAATAGGTCCCAAATAGTTAAACTCGGGTCTGCAACCTCCAAACCTAGCCCTATCACTTCTGGTGTAGTACAAGGTAGTGTCATTGGACCCCTCCTATTTACGCTATACATCAATGACATATGCGCTTGCTTCACGCACGGGAAACCATTCATCTTTGCGGATGACCTAAAAGTAGCTTATACATTCCAAAGTGATGACTTAGGGAACTTCGAGAATGTAGTGCAGAAGGAATTAGATAAAATGACTGCTTGGTCGTCCCTATGGAATCTCCAATTCAATCTGAACAAATGTGGCTGGATCTGCTTTGGCGCACCCTCAATTGACCTGAAATTAACGCTCCAATCTGCTAACCTAACAAGACTCCGAAGTGTTGTTGACTTAGGGCTTAGGTACTCTAGTGACCTGACATTCTCTGAGCAAGTAGCAGCACAGACTAGAAAATCGAGGATGCTCTTAGGATGCATACTCAGGAACTTTCACGACAATGAAGCCAAGCTAATTCTGTACAAAACATGTGTCAGAGCACTACTACAATACTGTCCATATATTATAAGCAGCACTCTCACACGTGATAAGCTAAGGATGGAAAGTATCCAACGATATTTTACCTCAAAACTCCTAGGCTATGATTGTAAGAAAGACTACATCTCACGGTGTATGATCCTAAAACTTGACCCACTCTGGACAAGGCGACTTATGATAAACCTAATATTCTTCTTTAAGGTCCTTCACAAAATATCATTCTCAGGGAACAGGGACATACAATTCGCGCAGGAAGGTTCTTACGATCTACGTAACCAAACTTGCACAGTGACAACTCATTCTTTTAGGTTAACACTCCGTGAAAACTTCTTCACAGTCATGTATTCTAAAATATGGAATAGCCTGCCTATAGATATCAGAACTTGCTCTTCGGTTACAAGCTTCAAACGCTCTCTGTACAGACTGTTTCACTCTACTGATTATATTAATAAACTATTAACTCCTAGAACGAATCAATCACTAATCTACTACAGCACCTAAAAGACGCACTCCAACACCCTTAGCAATCTTTAAACTATAAATAAACTAGCAGCATGGATGCATAAAGACAGTACGGAACATACAGGATTAGTTTACCCTTAGAAATAGGACGTGTCACTTTATTGTAACCTTCAAACGCTTGCTATATAAACTGTTTTATTCCAATGACTACCCCTACCAGAAACCATTAATTACTTCTAAAACGCATCAGTCATTAGAACACTAAAACGCTCAGACTCATTAATACACATTATGACACTAAATAAACTCTAAGACTTCGCATAAATAAAGTGAAAAGACAACTATAATTAAAAGTAAGTTTTTACTTATATGTTATAAAATTGACATAAACATTTACATATATAGATTAATATCCTTTTAATGTTCACATACTTTCTCTTTCTGGTATTCTGCTGCTCTTATTCATCTTCTGGTCGAGGTCGAACAACCCTGCATCTAAACTGAAATGAGGATTAATTCCAAACCATCTATATCATAACCACTCAAATTCCATGAACGATCCAAATCTACCATTTGAAGACGCTGGCGAACATGCTGTAAATGAGTATTCATGATCTGAAATGAAGAAGCAACTGGTTTTCAACATTTTTCTGAACTTACGAATACAGTCCGCCATGCAGACACAAATGGAGCAAATGGAGAATT